AGACAGAAAAATCCATAAATAAACATCTACCTTAAACGACTCATTAGACCAAGTGGACTGTATAGACACATACACAACAAACATTCCATTCAAAACAGTAATATACATTCTTAAGAGCACATGGAGCATTTCTTCAGGATAGATCATATGTTAGGCCACACAACAAACCACAATGAATTTAAGAAGATTGAAATCATAACATCTTTTCCAACAACAGTCGTATGAAACTAGAATCAATTACGGGAAGGAAACTGGAAAATTCACAGGTATGTGGAGATTAAACAATGTGCTACTGAACAACAAGGGGTCAACAAAGAAATGAAAGGTACCTTGAGACAAATGCAAATGGAAGTACAAAATGCCAAAGCTTGTGGCGTGCAGCAAAGCAGTTCTAAAAGGGATATTCAGAGAGAGAAATGCCTACTTCAAACAACAAGAAAAATCTCACCCTAACTTTACACCTTAAGGAACTAGGAAAAAAAACAAAGCCCAAAGTTAGTAGAAGGAAGGAAGGAACAAAGATCAAAACAGAAAAAAAAAAAAGAAAAGTAAAATGACAACAGAAAAGATCATTGACACTAAGGGCCAGCTCCTTGGAAAGATAAAGTTGACAAGCTTTTAGACTCACCAAGAAAAAAAGAAGAGAGGATTAAAGTAAATCAGAAATGAAAGAGACATTACAACTGATATCACGGAAATACAAAGAATCATAAAAGCCTTCTGTGAACAATTATATGCCAACAAACTGGATGACCTAGAAGAAATGGATAAATTCCTAGAAACATACAACCTACCATGACTAAATCATGAAGAAATAGAATATCAGAACAGAACAATTCCTAGTAAGGAGACTGAATCAGAAATTGAAAACCTCCCAACAAACAGAAGTCAAGAACCAGATGGCTCACAGTGAAATTACCCAACATTCAAGAAGAATTAATACCAATTTCTCTCAAGCTATTCCACAAAATAGAAGAGGAGGAAATACCTCCAAACTCACTTTACGAGACCATCATTACCTTCATACGCAAAGCAGGCAAGGACACTACAAGAAAACAAACAAACAAACAAAACCACAGGCCAATATCTTTGATGAACATGGATGCACAAATCCTAAACAAATATTTACAAACCAAATTCAACAATACCTTAAAAAGATCATTATTGTGATCAGATGAGATTTATTCCAAGGATGCAAGGGTGGTTCAGTATCCACAAGTCCAATTTTTGTGACACACTGCATAAACAAAATAAAGGATAATAATAAAATGGTACCAATAGATACAGAAAAACCATTTGACAAAATTCAGTATCCATTTATGATTACCCCTCCACAAAGTATGTGTACAGGCCACATATGACAAGCCCACCACAAACATACTCAACAGTGAAAAGCTGAAAGTTTTTCCTCTAAGATGAGGAACAAGACAAGGATGCCCACTCTTGCCATTTTCATTAGATTTAGTATTGGAAGTCCTAGCCAATTGGCAAGAAAAAGAAAAGGTGCCCAATAGAAGTAAACCTGTTACTGTTTGCAGATGACATGATATTATACATATAAGACCCTCTTAGAGACTTTGCCAGAAATCTTTTAGAAATATTAAATGAATTCAGTAAAGTTGCAGAATACAAAATCAGGGTACAAATACTAGTGCATTTCTATATACTAATAAACTAATGGAAAGAAAATTAAAACAATCCTAGTTACAGTTGCATTAAAAAGAATGAAATATCTGGGAATAAATTTAACCAACATAGTGAAAGACCTGTGCACTGAAAACTATGACATTGGTGAAGGAAATTGAAGATACAGGGGGAAGAGGGGTGGAGGGAGGTGGAAGAGGGTATAAAGGAGATAAATGGTAATGAAAAAAATACAGTAAAAATAAACTGTTTAAAAATAATAAAAAGAATACATTTTTTTCTGCCAAAAAAATTGAAGACAAATAAATGGAAGGATATTCAGTTCTCATGGACTGTTAGAATTTATATTGTTATATAGTCCATACTACCCAAAGCAATCCACAGATTGAATGCAATCAGAGAACTAGAATAAACACTTAGAAAATTTGTATAGAACCACAAAAGACTCAAAATAACCAAAGCAACCTTAAGGAAAACAAACCTGCTGCCTGATTTCAAACTGTACCATGAAGCTATAGTAATCAAAACAGTATGGTATTGGCACAAAAGCAGACACGCATAATCAGTGGAACAGAATAAAGAGCCCAGAAATAAACCCATGCACATATGGACAATTTACAAAAAAGGAGCCAATAATATAACGGGGAAAGGGCAGTCTCTTCAAGTAGTGATGGGAAAACTGGACAGCCACATGCAAAAGAATGTAACTGGACTATTATCTTATACCATACATCAAAATTAACTCAAAATGAATTGGCAATTCAAATGTAAGACCTGAAACCATAAATTCCCAGAAGAAAACATGGGTGGTAAACAAATGAGACTATGTCAACCCAAAAAGCTTCTGCACAGCAAATGAGATCATCAACATTATGAAAAGGCAGCCTACTGAATGGGAGAAATATTTGCAAGTCATATTATCTGATAAGGGGTTAAGATCCAAAATGCATAAAGAACTCATATAACTCAGTAGCAAAACAAAACCAAAACCAAAAACATAAAAAAAAAAAAAATGGGCAGAGGATCTGAATAAACGTTTTCCCAAAGAAGAGACATCAAAAGACACAACAGGTACATGAAAAGGGGCTCAGCATCACTAATCACCAGAGAAATGCAAATCAAAAGCACATTGAGATAACCACCTCACTGTGAGAATGGCTATTATCAAAAAGATAAGTGTTGCTGAGAATGTGGAGAAGGGGAACTCTCCTGGTGGGAGTGTAGATTGTTGTAGCCACTATGGAAAACACTATGGAGGTTCCTCAAAAAACTAAAAATAGAACCATCATATGACCCAGAAGTTTCACTTCCAGATTATTAGAAGAATATGAAAACACTAATTTGAAAAGATAGCTGAATCCCCATGTTCATTGCAGCATTGTTTACAATAGCCAAGGTACGGAAACAACCTAAGTGTCCGCCGATGGATATATGGGTTAAAAAAAGAAAATGTGACACGCACACAGAAGAATATTACTCAGCCACAAAAAGGAAACCTTGCCATTTGTGACAACATGGGTGGACCTTGAGGGTGTTATGCTAAGTGAAATAAGTAAGAGAAAGCCAAACACTGTACCATATGATCTCACTTATATGTGGCATCTACAAAAAAAAAAAAAAAAAAACAACAAAACAAAACAAAAAAACCTAAGTTCATAGATACAGAGAATAGATTGGTGTTTGCCAGAGGCAGGATGTAGGGTGGGTGAAATGAGTGAAAGGGGTTAAAAGGTACACACTTGCAGTTATAAAATAAGTCTTGGGGATAAAATGTACAATATGGCAACTATACTTAATAATACTGTATTGCATATTTGAGAGTTACTAATAGCTCTTAAAAGTTGGAAACAAGAAAAAAGATTTTGTAGCTCTGTATGGTGATGGATGTTAACTAGACTTACTGAGGTGTTGTTCAACATACACAATTATCAAATCATTACATTGTACTCCTGAAGCTAATGTTATATGTCAGTTATACCTCAATTAAAAAAAAAATGCGTGGTTCCCCTGCCCACACTTGCGCCTTGTTAGACCTTGACCCACCAGCTTCCCGGAAAGGGGCTCTGACTTCTCTGTTGTGGAAGCCAAGGCTGAGGGGAAAGCTCTTGAGTAGAGACAGTGTTGCTTTTACTTATAGAGCTAGGTTTGTGCATGCTACCCAGCTTTTCAAACTAAACATTATCTTGTTTAAAGATACATGTGTATAGTCTATAAAGATAAGCAAAGAAATGATTAGCACAAAAGTTGACAATGGCTACTTCTAGGGAGAAAGAGGGAGTTGGGATTCAGAAGAGGCACACAGGAGGCTCCGGAACATGGCCCACGGCCTTCCCCTGCACATCTCTAAGGGGCACATTCACATAAACCCAGGCTCCTCAAGTCCTGGAGAGAATCCATTCCTTTAACTGAGGGATGGGTACAAAGGTATTCATATTTTTCTCAAACAAAAAATACATTATTAATTCTCTGCAGAATCATACATACATTTTATATTGACTTCTGAATAGATTATTGATTGCATCAGGAGTTGGCAAACTTTTTCTATAAATGGCCAGATGAGTATTCTAGGTTTTACACAGCATATAAAGGTCCATGTCCCAGCTACTCAGCCCTGCTGTTGCAGCCTAAAAGCAGCCACAAACAATATATAAAGGAATGGGTGTGGCTTTGTTCCCACAAAACTTTATTTACAAAGCCAAGTGGCTGGATTTGGCTTGGAGCCACAGTTTACCAAGGCCTTTACACAGATCTTTACACACACCCCCCCCACCCCCCCAATCCACCCTGCATTGTGGTTTATCCAAGGTATTGCAAGTAGGGTCTGGAACAAAGGATTCGTTGGAGGTATAGCAAGAAGGTCGATAAAGCAGCCTTTGGTAATCTATGTTTATTTTCCAGTAAGTTGGGACTGTGAAAATGTTTGATCTAAATTTAACTATTTTTATAAACTTTGAGAGAAAATTGCTGTTTGAACTTTGATTTCATTAGGGAAACATTTTTATCAGAATTATTCAGATTAATTCATTAATAACAGCAAACCCAACAATAATACCATCTAAAAAAAGTAATACCATCTGTTATTAATTGATCATTACCAGATGTCAGACATGATGCCAGACACTTTATACACATTATTTTTTCCTTTACAGCTGTTCTTCAAAGTAGGTATTATTAATATTATTATTATCATTCTCATATAACTGAAAAACGCTGGCTTTTGCATGGTCACATATAACTAATAAAGCTGAGATTTGAGACTGCGTGTTCAGCTTCAAAGTTCCGTCTCATTTTCTACAGTACACTGCCTCTATTAAAGGCTCCCTGGTATAATGTTGCCAAAATCAATTTCGTTTTAGATTGTCTTCGCAGTTTTACCGACTTAGAAGAACTTGATGAGACAGAGTTATATATGTGCCACAAATGCAAAAAGAAGCAAAAGTCCACTAAAAAGTTTTGGATTCAAAAATTACCCAAGGTAAGTGTTGAGTTTCAAATTATAATGCAATTTCAAGAGCAAAGTGCTCATGACTGACGAAAAGCAAATCATTTTTGTAACTTTAGGTAATCTCTTCTGTCTTGGTCTCTAGTGTTTTCAGTAAAAGTTTAATAAACCCTTTGATAATGTATACTTACTTAAATGCGCCCCAATCACAATTTCTGGTGTGTGAAGGGGGAGGGAGGTGCCCATCACACCACCACCAGGCACTTCGCCCACCAGATGGGTGCCTTACAATTCAACTCAATTCTGACACTACCCAGAGATAACATTAGATTCTGCAGGTTAAGGGTCCAGTCCCACAATACCATCCTCCACTTCAGATGCCAATCGTAAGCCCAGGCTGTTACTTTATGTTTCTGAGCTACACATTGGAGGTTATCTTGGCCCTCTCTTCAGACTTCAGATGCCTGCAGTCGAGACTGGCTGTAAGTCAGAGATTTCTAAGCCCCCTCTCCTGGGGTTCCCTTAATTTTCTAATGCAGCTCACAGAACTGAGGAAGTGCATTTACTCGCTAGATTACTGATTGATTACCAAGGATTGATTAAAGGATACAAATCAACAGCCAGATGAAGGTCCCAAAGGATATTCTTGTGGAGCTTGGAGCCCAGCATGGTGGCACATGGAAGCTCTCCAAATGCAGTCCTTTAGGGATTTTATGAAGGCTTTATTACATAGCCATAACTGATGAAATCACTGGCCATTGGCAATTGATCCAACTTCTTCCTCTTCCCTACCCAGAGATCAAGGAGGTGGGACCCTCTTCCTGAGGTGGGGGGTCCACCTTTCACCTCATAAACATAACAAAAGACACTTTATCTTTCTCATCACTTAGAAAATTGTAAAGTTTAGGCGCCATTTTCCAGAAAAAGAACTAATACCAAATACACATTCCATTAATTACAAATCACAGTTCCACAATTATAGGCATGGAAGAAAGCAATATTGAGGACCAGAAGAAAAACTGATAAGCCACCTAAAATATTTGAGAGACAGTTAACCAAATAGTTAATTCTGATCGAAAGGTAAATTAGGTGTTTATTTACAATCTTTGTTCTTATTTCTGATCCAGGTGCTATGCTTACATTTGAAAAGATTTCATTGGACTGCATATTTAAGAAACAAAGTTGACACATATGTAGAATTTCCACTGAGAGGCCTAGACATGAAATGCTACTTACTGGAGGTAAGGTGATACCTTGCTTAGCATGGTGAAAAGATGGCTCATTAAAATTCAGTCAAGTTATCATCTTCACAGACACAGGGTGGAGGCCATTGAGGTGTGAGGTACTGATGCCATTGAGCACTGCTCCTAACTCAGTCCCGGCTGCCTTCTCCCTTGTTCTGTAGCCTGAGAACAGCGGCCCCGAGAGCTGCCTGTACGACCTCGCCGCCGTGGTGGTGCACCACGGGTCCGGGTGAGTGTGCCCGCGGGTTTGCTGGGGTGGGCGGTGGGGGGCACAGCGGAAATCCTCCCCAGATTCCCTAAAAAAACGGATTCATGTACAGTAAAGCAAGTGAAGTAATATTCTCCTTCAATTTTGGTGTAAAAGAATATCCCTGCGAGAATGTTGTGAAGTATGAAGAGAAGGCACGTAAAAGCAAAATGGAACATGGGTCATTTGAGCCTGGCATTCAGAACCCAACCCATTGTTCACAAAATTCTGAGCATTCTTTTTACTCAAGTTACTTGCTTTGCCATTTGATGTTTCAGTGGGGAAAATGGAAAATTATTTATAACTTCATGTCCTGTACTTTAAAGATTCATCTTTTATTTTGTTGAATAATTATTTTTTTCCCTGGAAGCTTGTTAAATTTTCTGACTTCTGGTCTGTTTAAGAAGGGCTGTTTTACCTTCAGACCTGTGCAAACCATGATCCATGTTGAAAATCCTTTTCCCTCAGAACTTTGTGGACACTGCTCTACTGACTTCACCATTTATAGAGTCATAAACAAGTCCACTACAGGGTTCTTGCTTCTTTATAGGCAACCTGTTTTTTCTCTTTGGAAGGTTGTAGGATTCTGTCTTTGAACTTGAGAAATATCATCAGCCCTGGCTGGGTAGCTCAGTTGGTTAGAATGTCGTCCTGATATTCCGAGGTTGCAGGTTCAATCCCCAGTCAGGGCACATGCAAGAATAGGCCAATGAATGCATCAATAAGTAGAAAAACAAATCAATATCATTCTCTCTGATAAATAATCTTAGAAATTTTTTTAAAAAGAAATAACATCAGATAGATTCCTGCTTGATAGTTGATAGGGACAATCTTAGTCTAGTGTCTTTGGCGTCTTCAGCTAATGGAAATGTTTAAGTTCCACCCCATTCTCCATTCTCTGCTCTGAAATACTTGTTAAATGTATAGTAAATTTCCCAGGCCTTTCACATATTTTAACTATTCTTTAATGCTTTCCATTTCTTTGTTCCTGGGGACTGTTATGGCCTATTTTGCCAAATCACCAATTTGGGTCACATCTATCCAAATTGAAGATTAGTTCCTCCATCAATTTTTATATTGTGGAGATCACATTTTTATCATAACTTTTTCATAACAGCCTATTCATGTTTTATGGTTGCAGTATCTTCTTGAAACCATTGGTACTACTAATTAGAATTTTTAAAGTTCTTTCTGTTTCTTTTTTTTTTTTGCATTCAGTTCCTCAGTGGTTAATTACTGTTTTTCCTAGCACTTCTCTTTCATGCTATTTTTCTCCCCTCAAGGCTGATGATTTTTGGTTGTTTATTCAGAATCATAATAAATGAGATTGATCATTATTGGTAAACAGTAAAGGTTTTTCTAACGGTTGTGAGGTCTCTCATCATACGTGCAGGCTGTTCTGCTCAGGAGGGCTGACTCCAGGGCTCCAGGGAGAGGGGGCGGGTCCTGCCCTCAGAGAAGAGCCCTTGACTGCCAAAGTGGGGGAAGGCACTTTTCCTGGAGCCTGACTGCTTTCTTAAGTTCGTTTTTTCCCCCGAGACTCTGATAGGAAATCTGGTTCTCAGTCTTCCATGTCTCCATAGGCCTTGACCTGTGCTTGTTAGGTTGATAGTTAATCAGCTATTTGGTTTGTCCATTAATCCAGTACCACGTGGGTATGCCTTTATGTGCTTTAGAAAATCTCCAGTTTCTGGTCTGTTGATGGCACTCTTCCCTGTTTTCCATTGTCGATATATTCCTTGTCATTTCAGTAGCTTTTGAGGAAGATAAACATGTGAGCTCAATCAATCATCTTAAACCACAGTTCTCAAGGATTTATTCAATTATAGTACTGATTAAAATGTATAACAAATTATATGGTTGTACAGATGCTTTTGTGATTTTCTTTACTCTTTTGACTTTTCCTTACAGGGTTGGTTCTGGACATTACACAGCATATGCAAGACATGAAGGTCGCTGGTTCCATTTCAACGACAGTACTGTAACACTGACCGATGAAGACACCGTCGTGAAGGCAAAGGCCTACATCCTCTTTTACGTGGAGCGTCAGGCCAAAGCGGGATCGGATAAACTTTAATACCTCCTCAAAATCATTATTTGTCAACTATACCGGACAAACATTTCCAATTTTCCGTAAATACTTGATCCAAGATTTAATTTCATTGTGCACTTTTCAATTTCCTATTTTGGGTTTAGTTTTATTTTGTCAATGGTAGTGACTTATTGAACATGGGCACCAACTAATTTTTTTTTTTTTAGTTCTACCAGAAAACCTCAGCAGATATTTTGATTTGCTGCTTTAGTTGTAATAATTCAGTTTTTGTATGTAGTTCCAAGAACTTAGGTCTATTTGACTTTTTTATATTAATGTTTCAGTTCTCACTTTGAGGCACATTTACATCAATGCTTTGTTACTCTCACATGCTGAAAGCAAGATACGTTCCTGATTGTGAAGAACGGTGTGACTGCCTGCTGCCTTTTCACAGCTGTACTGGGGATCAGGTTGACTCTGAATCAAGACACGTGTGTGTGTGTGTGTGGGGATCAGGTTGACTCTGAATCAAGACGTGTGTGCGTGCGTGCGTGTGTGTGTGTGTGTGTGTAACATGCCCCGCGAGATTTCAGTGACTACTTGGTAATCATTCTTCTTGCTTGTCAAAGATGACTGGGAGGGCATCCTTCAGGAGACCAGATAAGAACTGATGCTCTTGGTATCTCTCAAGACTGCTGTGTATCAGCACTAACAAAATAAATTTGTTGGTTCAGTGGTATCTGCGCTACAAAATCAAAAATTACTCTGTTGGCTTTTTGGTCTTAAGGTCTTTTTTTTTAAATGTGTGTTTTCATGAAGAAGGAGTACAGAAAGTCCAAATAAGACCAAACACATTTAGTGTTTAAAAAATTTTGTGACTCAGCTACATAGTATAGTGTTACCCAGTGAGATGCAACCACATCTTGTTTGCTTTTTTGCATCAGCACGGGATTCCCTCATTAGCTGTTAACACCGGGGATAACGGCATGTCCACTTCAGCCTTATTCTTGTTTGGCCTTTTGGGGTTGAGATGCTGACCTCCAGGGTTTATTTTGACCATAATCTACTCTTCAGATAACACTGTGGGGCCTGCTTCTATGGAAGGAAGTGAGAGCCAAGTTTTTAAAAACTCATTGGCCTGTCCTGATAGGGCAAGTTGGAAATAGGGCAAGTTGGAAATATTCTCACTTTGAATAAGTAGTTTCTATTTCTTAGTAATGTGTTTTAAAATTGTTTACAAGAAAACTAGGTAAAAGCACTATTTAGATTTAACTCAAGTTGAAATTTGAAATTAGAATCCCATAATATTAAATCACATACTTTTTCAGAGCAGACCACAAATGCTAAAGACTTAGGATTATTTTTTGAAGATCTGATTGGCTTTCATGAATTGGGCAGCATCCCATCTAGCAAATAGAAGGGAGCGCCCACCCACTAAACACTTTAACATGACTAGGAGCAAAATGAAATCATGTCTAATCTTGTCCTATCCAGTATGGTGGTCACTAGCCACAAATTTAATTAAAATTAAGTAAATTTTAAGAACTCAGTTCTTCAGTCACACTAGCCACATTTCAAGCACTCAACAGCCACATGGCAGAGTAACTGAACAGATCTAAAGCATTTCCATCAATAGTTTTCTTGGACGGTGCTACTATAAATTTTCACTCCAGAGAAAAAAACCTTTGCTGTCGTGTTTAGGTCTTACAGCTAGTCTAGACTAGAATTAAAAGGGGAACATGTATTTAAAATAGCCCCCCCCCCCCAAAAAAAAGTGCTTCACAATGTTAAATTACATTGTGTGAACCATGTGAAATTGTCATATTTGACCGCTTTTGATCAACAAAAATGACAGCCTCACTTAATTTGACCCAATATATTTGATACGTTAACACCACTCCTGTGACCTTGCTTTGTGTCACCTGTGAATCCAGGCTCTTTGCTGTGGAAGGTGCACAGCTGTAATTTCTAGCATTTGCACTGAGACCGTGAGTCTCTCTGAACAGGCAGCTGTTACGGCTTCAGCAAGAGAGCCTCGGGCAGCGCTGACGTTGGTGGAGAAAAGCTGTCTTTTTATACCAGATGGGATTTAGTGACAGACTGGACTATGGTATTGGGAAAGTGGTCCTCAGACAGGCAACACTCTTGGTTTAAGAGATCACACATCTCCTCTTTGAATTTTTGTAGTATTTTTGTTGCTTGATTTTACTTAAGCAGAAATGTTTGAATATCATGAAGGCTCTTTGGAAAAGTGATTTGATCTATTTGAATTGTGCACTTGAACACATGATGTAAATGTGCCTAATTGTATTTTAAAAATTTGTGTAGCCTTATCACACCTGTTGTAAAAGCTGATCTTTTGTGCTCTTCAGGGCTTTTCCCTTGTGCCATGCTTTCTCCGGCACATGAGTAGCTTCTCACTCAGAGCGCCTGTGCTGAGGCAGGGCCTCACGCCGGGTCACGTGGCTCCTAGGACAAGGAAACTTTCTCAGAAGTCCTCCCACACGGGTGGGTGATAGAAACAGTTTGTGGCAACACAAATCTCTCTCCATGGTGGAGAAACCTTTGCTTATCCACTGTATTCTACTCAGTGTCTAGTGATGACAAATGTAATAGAATTAAACCAGTAAAGTATACTGGCCCTGGTTGAATGTTAAATGTGTATCTCACCTGTGGAACCTACTCAGCAGCTTGGTTTCTGGGGTTGGGGACATATTTATTTCTTAAAGCCAAACCTCTCCTTCACTGGTTTAGTGTACATAAGTCTACTTAGATATACCGACCCCACTTCAACCTCCACCATCCCCCAAACTCCCTCACGTGTCCTTGGTTGTAGAAGGGGCCTCTTCCCTCGGGCCCTGGAAGAGCTCAGGAGCAAGGTCTGTTCCCGCAGCCAGGGCCTGTCCCAGGGACCTGGGTGCAGCCACAGGACCCCGGCCGCAGCCCAGGAGGAGGTGGGCAGGTGGGGGCGTCGTGCTGTGGTCCAGGGTCTCTGCGTTCCCTCACAGGGTGCAGCACCTTCCCCCTCAGGTCTGAGTGCACCGGACTCCGGACTGCCCTCCGCAAGTGTTGGTTGTGTTGTGATGTAATCATTTGCCATCAAAACCTAGCTGTGTGATGATGAAAGGATTGTGCAAGTGACCGATTTCATTTAAGTTGTAATCACATCCCTTTTCTGTCTCACCAACCTGAACTGTTTTACGGGAAGTATCATTAAAAGTCTGGTCTCTTTCCTTTTTGACTATTATTTCTGAACACCTTTCAGTGAAGCCAACTAAATAATATCCTCAAGCTTGGGCCTTCTCTGTCAGTCAACAGGTGGAAGACTCTTACAGAACCCTCGCCGTCTGGGCTGCTGGTGTTCGTGGGCCCAGATGGAGTGACCTGCAGGGCCGAGGGAGCCCGAGGTCAGTGTGGAACGGAGTCTTCCCGTCTCTCCTTGTGCCGGCTGCGCGGAGGAAAACAAGGTCGGCTTGCTTCCCTCCCAGCCAGACTGGACCCTGAGGACCCAGGTTTGGGGCCCTGAGCAACGGATATTGGTTTTCTTTTAAAGGAAAACAGGTGAGAGATGTTAAAAAATACTCTGCTTTCCAGTAAGCTCCTATATGCTACTTCTCTGCCCCAGTCTCCCCGGCAAACAAAAAACCACCGCCCTGTGTCCACACCTATGGTATTCCTGTGCCATTGGCCTGTTCCTGCCAGTCTTCAAAAACTGAAGACATGGGCTGGTGAACACACAAATACAGGTGATGATTTATATAATTGCACACCTGAAACTCACACAATTTTATTAACTGTCACCCCAAGAAAAATAAAAAGAAAAAACCCCCTGAAAACAGGTGTCTGCAGCCCAAACTTTTAAACTTCCCCCAAGTAGATATATTTATTGATTTTTAGAGAGGGAGGAAGGGAGATAGCGAGTTACAGGGATTGATTGCATCCTGTCCGCACCCAGACCAGGGATCGAACCCCTCAGCCTTTGCAGTACACGGGGACAGCGCTCCCACCAAGCCGCCCTGCCGGGGCGCAAACGCTTTTGCCTCCAGGTCCTGCCTGTATCACACGTTCCCTTCTGGCAGCTGTGCGGCCGGCCGGTCAAAGGCCGGGGGCTGCGGTTGCAGCCAAGGCGCCAAGCTCCACACACACAAAGGAGAGGTGCTGTTGCCAACAGCACCCCCAGGCCTGAGCGAGGCCCCTCCCTGCCGACACGCATGCCACGTGGGCCCACCTGCCTTCGGGAGGCTTCCTTGAGCCCGCCCAGAGGAGCGGCGGGGGCCAGGCTCTAAGCGGCCACCCCGCCAGGGCTCTGCTGCCCAGCGGGGCTGCGGGAGCGCGGCCTGGAACCACTGCGGACGGATGACTCTCCCGGGGAGGGGGGAGGGCAGCGCGCGTACGCAGCTCGGCCTTTCAAGAAGCTGACCGGACCGCCCATTTCCAGGGGTCAGCCTTCTGAAAGTCTGGCTTGAAAAGGATTTGGGAGGGAAAGGAGATAATAAGGCTTTCTATTGAACCCATCTGTGCAGCTGCACGAAACTTTACAGTGGAGAAGCACAACTACAGCCCAGAGGGGCTACGGCTGTCGTTTGAACAGTGAAAATGATTCGCATGAAATACTAGTCACCCTTTCCTTGAGAAAAGCTTCTTTTAGCTTTTTTGCTGATTTGTGGTTTTTAAGGAAAGCCGCCCTTTCCACCTCTCCTCGGCCGTGGCGGGGTAACAGGCCCAGGGGGCAGCCGAGAGGGGCTTCTCGGAGCGCGCGAGCAGCGCGAGCGGCTCCGCTCCTTCCTGAGCGGCGGCACAGCGGCACCAGGCCGGCCCCAGCTTAGCTGCCGCAGAGGGTCCAGCCCAGCTGCTTCATCCCTGTTACTCCACACAACTGGAAACAGTATTCCCACTCCTTTCAATTCCCAGTCAATGGAGAAGGAAGCGAGGCAACCCCCGCGGTGTCAGCCTCCCTCCTAGCAGCCCCCAAAGCCACCCCCAACCAGTTCCCAAAGCTAGGCCTTCACAGCAGGGGAATCCCGCGGGATCCAGGGTAGGCCTGGGCCTCAGGCAAGCAGTTCTAGAAAACAGATCCACGTACTGAGAAATCTCGGTCCCTTCAGGAGGGGAGAACCTAATGGCTAAGACTTGCAGGCAACCTGCCAAGAGGAACTGATCATTCACAAGGACGGTGTGTGGCAGGCTTAAGGAGCAGGCTCAGACTACAGCACTTTTTAAGTTAACATTGTTTCAGTAAGTTTTGTATGAAGAGCTACGTCATCCATCCTGACATTTTTGGGAAATATAATGCCGGACGCATTAGAAAAAGGTAAAGCAAGTACATTTAAAACATGACATTCACGGAAGAAACTGGAATGATAAACTACATAAGGTAAATCTTGCGTGGGTGGAGGTGGAGGGGGGCGGGGATATATGGAGACAGAAAATAAAATAAAAATCTTTTATGTAACAATTCAGGGTAAAAATAGAGGCAGGTGCGAGGCCTGGGAAATCCCTTGCACAGTGGAGGGCGGCAGGATTTGAAGGTAGTTCAGCTTGGCCTGGGGATGGGAAAAACCATCCCCACTGAGTAAAACCAGGAGAGAGGTGTTACCCATGGCTTCGGCTTACAGCTCTGAACACAAACCTGTCACCCATAGCTCTTCATAGACAACAGGTTTCTTCCTAATAAGAGTGGGACAAAAGACCTAGACTGATGTATGGTACCAGATACTACGTACAGTTAAGAGTCCCTCCCGTGAGCAGAGCCTACAAGCCCAGACAAAGGTGGCCTGGCTAGCCACTTAGAATGAAAATGCCTCGAGAAAAGCTAAATGAGCTTGCTCTTGAACACCATTGTCTGCTAAAAGGAAAAGAAATCCCTTTTAAGGAAAATATTTAACTTCAATAGGCTGCTTTTCTGCCAGGATTTTCAATTCCTCTGAACATAAGCCGAGACGCAGACTGCTGCACGTATGTCTGGATCCTGCCCCCTCCCAGCTCCAGCACCAGTTGTTAGCCCAAAATAAACCCCATTCCACAACCATATATGTCCACCAGCCCAGAGCTGGGGAGGAGCAGCAGGAGGCAGGTCAGGTCCCTGGGCTCCAGCCACACTCCGTGGCTGCTGTGCACCATGCACATCACCCAGCTCAACCGCGAGTGCCTGCTGCACCTCTTCTCCTTCCTGGACAAGGACAGCAGGAAGAACCTCGCCAGGACCTGCCCCCAGCTCCAGGATGTGTTTGAGGACCCTGCACTCTGGCCCCTGTTGCACTTTCGCTCCCTCACAGAACTCAGGAAAGACAACTTCCTCCTGAGCCCAGCGCTCAGGAACCTCTCCATCTGTTGGCACTCAAGCCGCGTGCAGGTGTGCAGCATTGAGGACTGGCTCAAGAGCACCTTCCAGAGGAGCATCTGCAGCAGGCATGAGAGCCTGGTCAACGACTTCCTCCTCCAGGTGTGTGACAGGTAGGTCGCCTCCTGAGCAGCGCTGGCTCTGGCAACCAGAGCTGCGGGAGGCTTTGGGGATCAGGGAAGAGCAGCTTACAAGACCAAGATGGCTCTGCTGCAGGGATCCTCAGTCTGGGCCCAAGGCAGACCCTCCGGGCCCATCCACAGCACAGTCCACAGATGGATAAAATCATGGGGGAAACAAGCTCCTCTTAGCCTCACAGGTCCCAGAGTAAAGAGGAAGGGCTGGGCTTCAGCTGTCGCTGTCCTTTGGGCAGCTGTCCTCCCTGGCAGCCATTAAATGCTGGGTGGGTCCAGCTGGCCGTGGATTTTCAAGGTCAGACCCCACAAAAAGATTTCTAGACTCAGCAATCAGCTCTCCGCTCTACTCTGCTTCCAACAAGCAAACCCCAAGGCTTGAGAGCTGTGGCTGAGGAAGAACTGGGGTGCTCTGGGGTAGCTGAGCTCGGGGTAGGGGTGGTGATCCAGAGTCATGGTTTCCTCATTAGAAATTCACTAATCTTCATGGTTATCCTGGGGGAGGGTGTTTTAAACCTAATGAACAAACCAGACCTCTAAGAGATCATATGATTTGCCCACAGTCTAAGATTGTCAGATTTTAGCAAATGAAAATTCAATTTGAATTTCAGCTAGAATTTTTTTTTTTAAGTATGTCCAAATACACCCTGTATTTGATGTGTCAACCCTACGGCAGACACGGGGGCTGAGCCACAAGCCAGGCTCCCCCCACGGTCAGAGCCTGCTGCCTAGAGCAAGGACAGACTTCCTCAGGCAGGCCTTCACGGAGCCTTTACTAGTCCACCAGTCCGTCCTGCCTTTCCAGAGAGGCGCCCCTTGGCTATCAACAAAGTAGGCTCGGCCGTGTGCTGCCACCCAGGGGTAATAGCGGCTGTTTGCTGGCAGCATGACAGGAACAGAATAGTGACCTGGGAGGACCACCTTTCTTTTTTGAAGGCAGGAGGAAGAACACAAGGTGGTCCTGGGACTAGGCCCTGATGGGACCAGGCCATCTTTGTGGGGTTTAACAAGGCCCAGAAATCAGACTTGGTGGAGATATGTTTGGGGCAGAAAACTTGCCCTGAGGTGGTTCCGGTCTTGCTGTGAAAGAACCAGATTTAATCCCCCAAACCAGCAAGGCGTGGAGTGGGCCTCCCAGTCACTGTCTGGGTGCAGCAAGGGCCGCCCGGCTGGTGTCAGAAAAAAGGCGAAGGGCTGGGAGGTCAGGGTTCTGTGCTGAGTCCCCCAGTTCTGCTACTGTCTGACCATGCGACCCTAACCCAAATATTTAAACTGTCTACCTCTTCATCTGTAAAATGGGACAAATCGCCAATCTCACACGCAGTGAGGATTATATAGTAACATTGGCACATAGTAGGTATGGACAAGTATCAAATCTGGTTCTCTGGGCAATCTGCTGGGGGTGCAGGTAAGGGACAGCAGGGGCTGGCTGGGCAGGGAAGGAGTTGGCTTGCTCTTTCTCTGCTTTCTTCCTGCATCAGAATTATTTAAAGGTTCTTAGAGGAAGGGATCACTCGACATCCTTGGGTCTTAAACACCTAATCCTCATAACCACCCTGAAGGTAACAGTCTCCCCCACCTGACAGATGAGGAGGTGGCCCCTTAAGTTTCACTTTTATCCGCGCTCAGACCAACAAATAAACAACAGGCAAGTCACTTGAGCTCTCTGGGCCAGTTTCTTCATTCACAAAACTGAGGGTACAGAGGCGATGTGAAGACTAAGGCAGGCATGCGAACTTGGGAGG